AAACCATGTGACACCGAACTCTGGAGATCAGTCATTTTGACCAGATCCTTAGGCAGGATTTTTCCCAGCACTTTCTTCCTAGCTAGGAATTCTATTAGTTGTATTTATTATACTTTTTTTAATTTTAATTAAAAAAATTTTTTTGAGGATATTCGCTATGTATTTCTTCTTTAGGTCTTTCTTTTTTTTAATTTATTTATTTATTTTTATATTTATTTTTGGCTGTGTTGGGTCTTCATTTCTGTGCGAGGGCTTTCTCTAGTTGCGGCAAGCAGGGGCCACTCTTCATCGTGGTGCGCGGGGCTCTCACTGTCGCAGCCTCTCTTGTGGCGGAGCACAGGCTCCAGACGTGCAGGCTCAGTAGTTGTGGCTAACGGGCCTAGTTGCTCCACGGCATGTGGGATCTTCCCAGACCAGGGCTCGAACCCGTGTCCCCTGCATTAGCAGGCAGATTCTCAACCACTATGCCACCAGGGAAGCCCCTATACTTTTTTTAAAAAACATACATCCTGTTTCTGTTTGACCCTACTAAGAACCTTTTTCAAAGAAATGTTACCTCAGTTTGTAAAAAATACAAGTCTGAGAGAATTCTCATCTCAAAGGGCATTTCATTTCACAGTTTCTATTTTAGAAAGATCAATTAAAATTATTTAATTATTGGACTTATGTTACCAAGTTGTGAAAGCAGGTGATCAAACAATACAGGAAATGACCTTCCAATTACCAAGCTCTTGTAGGAGGGGGATGGGTTGCCAGGGCATGTTCCAGACACTCTGTTGTCAAGTGCAGGGAAATCACAGGACTTGGAAACCAGCTCCCCCAAAGGAATATACAAGAGCAAAACCCCACACACATTCACCTCTTGTTCATAAGCAAGACATAACATAACGTATCAAGAACATCTGGAACCACAAAAGATCCTTATGGAAAATTGTGATCTTAGGTCCCCTGTAATAGTGGTTCGCACCACCAACACCATGTTGTCTTATGAACATCTATAACGTGGCATAGAGGTCTCACCCAGCGATGTTACATGAAGTGTCACAGATCGGGGGCCAGGAATGTAGAAAGAGCTTTTATTAAAGGGTATCCTCTTTATCCTGTTATAAAGTGAAATGTGGGTGGCAGGCCCATAGCACTGGTGTATGTGAAACTGTGAAGAGGCTGCTATTAGAATAAGGAAATTGCCTCCTTTGCTGTCCCTTGAACGGAAGGCTAAAATTGATGCTTGCCATGGAGAACTCATCAAGCAAAACCTTCCAGTCTTCCAAACCTAAACTCTGTACGTTTCAGGAACAATCACATTGAATAAACCTTAGGTCCAAACTGTTGGCTTACGTCCCTTAACTTCTGTATTTTCTGCATTTCTGCTTTTAGAGTTCTCTCCATTTGGTGGGTGTCCAGCAGCCGGAAGGACAATGCCGAATTCAATTTAAACAAAGAAAATGACGTCTGCTGGGCCTAAGGAGGGCCAGGGCCTTCTGGAGGAGTGACTGCCCCCATCCTCTAGCCTGGCAGCACCTAGACCTGAGTTTGACTGAAACGTATCACTGAATTTTGTTTAAGGATTTAGTTCAAGACAATGTCCAGATGGGATGTGTGTTTGGTATCTCAAGAGTAGACCAAGAATCTGACATCACTCTATATCTATTGATACAGAGACCCCAATACAGGGTTTATAGAAAATGTTTCCATGATCCAGAAAGAGGCACTTCTTAAGAAGTTGGAATTTGGTTTCATGCATTACTGTATCAAAACTTTAAATAGAAATAATGTCACTTGAATGAAAATTTTACTATATTAAATTTACTGTGAAGACAACATACTTAAACTTTTATTTTGCAAAAGGCTAAAAGTCTTAGACTCTAAAAAGTATTAAATAATGATTTCTGGAGATTTTCTATTTTTCTTAATATGATTCTTAACTCTAGCAATTGAAATTCTTAAACCGCTATTAATATAATTCTTTATTAAACATGTCTAACACTGAAAGTATGAATAATATGATAGCTTTCTAACACCTGTGAGGTCAGGGATCATGTCTGACACTCATTTCTACACTCAACTATGCCTAGGACAGCACCTTCTCTATAGGACATATTCAATACATGTATGTTGATTGGTGTACTGCTTTGTATTTTACTTAAGATAAAAGCACTCCTTTGATTCAAGGTGTTTGTAATTGTAGTTTGAGATAATATTTTTCCTAATTTATAGAAACTCAAATTAAATGATGTGTCAAGGCAAATAACAACATTTCAATCTATTACTTAAGACTTTTGCCTGAAATACTTACTATGAAATCCAGAAAAGAAATCCTATCATGGTCAGGGAAAATATATGATACTCATAACAGCATGATCAGTGATGTCATGATTTGTCCTCTAACAGTCCATGAAATGCTGCCTGCCTCCTTGATTTCACAATAAGTAAGTTTTCCAGTGCATGTTGTCCTCTGGATTATTTGCTCCCCTGTGCGAGAATTATCTGGTGGGATCGATAACGGTTGCTTAGTCATCTGTTTCCTACCAACGAGCAGATGACTCCCTAGGAGAAAGTTAAGTACTTTGGAATGCATTAACTCTCCAGGACTAATACAGTGATTTTGAAGCTTAGCTAGCAGTTTACAGCGTAGCTTAGCAGGCTCGGAGGTCTTGAGACTGAAGCGGCTAAAGAAAGCAGTTTAGAATCGACAGGAGATCTGAGAACGGCAGGGCAGACAACTACCTGGTGGGTTCTTCTAAATATGGCAAGTGTGTTCCCAGGGAAGGCTTGTCCTCCCCCAAGCAGCTGAGACCCACAGCCATACACTGTATTTGCAAATAATAGGCACTTGAGCTGAATTTGCAGACCCTCAGGGCAGTGTTTATTTCCTTATTATTGCTTGGTAAGGATGAACCTTAGCTGACAAGTTCAGGCACCTTAAAAAAACTGCAGAAGCAGGAGGTCTACTGACCTTTGAAATGATACATGGTGACATGAATATACTTGGAGGTCCCTATTTCTTTTTATTTCCCTAGCCTGGGATTCTATATTATGTATATTAATATAATGTATATTCATATATATATGTAAAAATACATACATTGGTATACATTTATATGTGTTAACTTGAGTTTTCCAGAAAGCAGGGTCTGAGACAGACTTGTGTGCAGTACAGATAGTTTACTTGAGACGTGCTCCCAGGCAGTAGAAATACGGGATCGGAAAGAATACACCATAATTGAGTTATGTTATCAAGGTAGATGTCCTAGCCCCTATTTCAGAGGATAAGCAATGAGGGGTGGGGGAACGACGTTCAAGTGTGGGCACGTGAGGGGTGGCTGGAGTCCTGGTTAGGTGACGAGCATGGAATTCTCAGTGTAGTTTTGATCATGTTTTAATACAAATGTGAGATCACCTGTATGCAGAACATCCTTGTGCAGGTAGCCATCACAGCATGTGTAATAATTAATAGTAACCCTCTTTTTTCTCTTGTCCCCCAACAGGCAGGGGCACAAATTATAACTTCATTTTTACTTGGCAGCCTGAAACAAGGAAGAGTTCACGTATTTACTGACAGAATTGCAGAACTAAATGGTGGTGCCGTTGGAAACTTGTAATTAAAGCAGGAAATGGGGAAGGAGGGGCCATTAAAACTTAAATTAGGAAGTCACCTGCTGAAACTTAAGTGTAAGCATTTAGTTAAGAGTTTGGTACTCGTTAAAAGGCATGTCCTTTCAAGATTTTAATGTGGAAAAAAAAGGAAGTGTCTTGGTCTATTCAGGCTACTGTAACAAAATACCATAGACTGGGTGACTTATAAACCACAGAAATTTATTTCTCACAGTTCTGAAGGTGGGGAAGATCAAGACCAAGGTGCCAGTATGGCTGAGTTCTACTAAGACCCTCTTCCTGGTATAGTCAGTAATTTCTCTATGTCCTCACGCGGTGGAAGGGGTGAGGGGTCTCTTATAAGAATAACCATCCCATTCATGAGGGCTCCACCCTCATGACCTAATCGACTCCGAACGGCCCCACCTCCTAAACCATCAACTTTGGGAGGATTCAACATGTGAACTTGGGGAAGGCACAAACATTCAGACCATAGCAGGAAGTAATCCTCCACCGTTGCTTAACTTTCTAAGTAGAGTAGGAGAGGTCTTGCTATATATTTTGCTCTGAAGGAGGACCCTGGACAGCACTTGGAAATGCAGATGAATCCTGCTCTTGGGGGCCCCCCATCTCTTGACGAAGCAGCCAGGAGCCTGGAATTGTCTCTGTGAGCATCCACACAGGAGTGGACCATGACACCTGGCTTTCATCAGCATAGCATCTTTTGTTTTCAAAAAGTTTTTAGAATAAATGTCTCCATATTTCTCCATTAATGTTGGGCTTTGGTAATTAAAATGAACTTATTAGAGTTTTGTTGTTAATTTTTTTTTTTTTTGCGGTACGCGGGCCTCTCACTGTTGTGGCCTCTCCCGTTGTGGAGCACAGGCTCCGGACGCGCAGGCTCAGCGGCCATGGCTCACGGGCCCAGCCGCTCCACGGCATGTGGGATCTTCCCGGACCGGGGCACGAACCCGTGTCCCCTGCGTCGGCAGGCGGACTCTCAACCACTGCGCCACCAGGGAAGCCCTGTTGTTAGTTTTTAAATCTTACTTTTTGGTATTTTAATTAATGGCTATGGGTGGTTACTGACAAGGGTACAACTTCTATAAACTATTTTCCTGATAAGATGCCTATTACATTCTAGAAACCAATAATGTGAGCTTCTATCACTTGAGCAATTACTGTGACTTTGCTAAGCCCATTTCACTCACCCACTTTTATTCTCACAATAATCCAGTGAGAATAAAATAATCCAGTGTGTCAGGGTGGTTTCTATTATTATCATCCCTGTTTTACAAATGACAGAAATCGAGCTTGGAGAGACTGGGTGACATACTTCAGGTCACCCAGCTAGGAAGTGGCAGAGGCAGGATTTGAACCCAGGGAGCCTGGCCCCAAAGCACATCCTCATAACACTAAATAGTGCTACTTCCTTCCTAAAGAGAAAATTGTTACCCACAAGAGACAGCACCATTGACTTTGTTGTCATCATAATCTACACTCTGGTTTCTCTCTTAAGTCTTAGGGGAAAAGTGGCTAATTTGTTGTATAACCTGCATTACAAATGGAAAAGGACTCCTGTTGTATGCCAGTTTCCTTCCTCCTCAGCCTCCTTCTCTGGAAGCCCCCAGATACCCCCGCTCCTTGTGAGAATTATGCAGTAGACCAGCCTAGGATGAGACCTAGCAGATGTGAGAGGGGGCCATTCATTCTTTGAAGAAAAATATCTGATAAAAATGCACCTTTTTAGTGAGGGCATATAAATGTAAATGTTGAACAAATGTTATAAATTCTAGCGCTATATTCTAGCATGCACTGTCTATTCACAGCAATGAGCTTTTTTTTTTTTTTTTTTTTTTGAGCAGTGTTTTACCTTGTTCCTTCACAAAAATAGCCCTGGTCATTAGAGACCCAGTAGGCCATAGAGTAAGGAATATATATGGATTTTTCTCTTCTGGCAGAGACAGGAACTAGATGAAATCTGAACAATCTTAGTTCAAGCTTTGTCTTCAGGTGACTTGGAATTTGCAGAAGAAATAACCTTTGGGGAAGGTTATTAACTCATGTAAGAGACATTGAACAATTATTTTGAAAAGCACTTAAGGGAAGGGGAGTGGTGTTTACTTCAGATGCCTGTAGACTCCCCTTTGATTTTTATTGCTGTCGTTGCTGGAGGGGAACATGTTAGAATCATAATGCAGAAGGAGAGAGATCAGCCTAACATCCTGGCTTTGCTGCTTAAGAAGCTGAAATCCAAGCGGGAGAAATGTCACGTTATGTGCACTTGTTCGATGTTCCATGGCTAGCGAAGACAACCCTCTGGGTGAGATGGTTTAAATGAATGATTCTTTGAAGACAGAAAAAATGGAACAAATGAGTAAATTTCCAACTTCTTTTGGCAGCAAAACTTTTCTTCCTACAACACATTAGTTTATAGATCTCCAGGACAAAAGCAGATTAAAGCTGATAAATCCAACTCAGCATTTAGTTGAGTATACTTGACTGTTTGCAGAATGCGTTACACACCTCTGCAGAGCCCTAGGGGTAAAAGAAGCACATATTGAAAAACACTGAACTAGATAAACCTTGAATGTTAGGTGCTTCCTCAAATTTCGCAGGGGCCTTGACAGTTTCACAGGGTCAGGTGACCAATTTGGGCCAATGGGATATAAGTAGAATGATGAGTGGCGATTCCAAGCTGAAGGACATCAGGATGTATATTGTCTTTACTTCCCTCTTCCCCTGATGTTGTGATGGAGGAGACATGCAGCAACAAGAAGGCAGAGCCTCCATCAGCCTAAGACCCTGAGTGTCAGTGAGGAGAGAGCCCTTCCCATTGTCTGCACTGGCTGTACAGCGTGAGCAAGAGACACTGATGTTTGCTACCACAGCATAAACTAGCCTATCCGAACAATCTCAGAAATGGAATTCTCTAGTTCCTGTTCTTTTTTTTTTGCCTTTAGTCTTCTTTAATCTCGTATCTTTCAGAGGAATACACAGTTCCAGCATGCTGCATTCCAGCTCAAGAGTGGCAGTGGATTATACTAAACTGAATTCACGGATATGCTATGCAGTAACATTTTTTATGGTCGTAACGCTGCAGTCAAAATTATATTTTGGCTGCTATCCTTTATTTTCTGAGCAATCAATTGGCTTATTAAATAGAAAAGCGTTCCCACACAAAATAATTTCTAAGTGAGTCACGTAGGTTATTAACTCGCGTAAGAGACGTTAAACAATAACAACCAGTTTATGTTGAGTACCTACTGTGTACGAGGTAATTATAGGGAATAGAGCGTGGAGGTTCAGTATAGAAAAT